GGAGCTATAGAAATAAACTGAATAGAATTGAAAATAAGGTTAATTTTCTCAAATAAGGGAAAAATTGTTGAGACATTTTTTTTCCAAGCTATAAAATGAATCTGTCTGAATCTAAGCTATAAGCTACAGTTTTGTGGGGTTTTTTCAGTTCTTCCTCCTCCTCCATCATCCTCCTCCTCCCCTCACCTCCTCCTCCCCTCACCTCCTCCTCCCCTCACCTTCTCCAGCAGGTAGTTGTTGATGTGTCCTCCTGTGGGATCCCCGTTGAAGTTGAAGTTGATGTCCATGTACTTCCCGAAGCGGCTGGAGTTGTCGTTGCGGTTGGTCTTGGCGTTCCCGAAGGCCTCCAGCACACAGTTAGACTTCAGCAGAACATTCTTCACGCTGAGGAACCACATTGCAGGAAACGAACATGAATAAGAGAAGAAGAAGAAGGAGGAGATTAATAAAGCAGGGAATTAGTAACAATCACTCTTAATAACGTAGTTTTCTTTGTGATGAAGCTCTCACCTCTCCACCTCCGCCCTCTGGCTGGGGTTTGTGATGGCTGCGATGTATTGCATGATGTATTTACTGGCTTCTGTTTTTCCTGCACCGCTCTCACCTAAAACACAGAGACAGGTTATAGACACACTGTGATGCAAAGAAGGAAAATCAATTATTACATTTAATACATTTTAATATAACTATGAGATAATTAGACAGTGATATTATTAATGTCAGAATGTTAGCATTATCTTTCAAATATTATTTAAGTTTAGAAAAATTAAAATACTGATGATAGTTAATACTACTGACCTACGGAAGAGGATTAGGGCCACTGAAAAAAAAAAAGTTAACTGATTTTTTTTTTATTTTATTTCAGTATAGTATGGGGAAAAAGGTCAGAATTCTGACTTTTTTTCTCACAATTCTGACTTTAATCTCAGAATTCTGACTTTTTTCTCACAATTCTGACTTTAATCGACTTTTTTCTCACAATTCTGACTTTAATCTCAGAATTCTGACTTTTTTCTCACAATTCTGACTTTAATCTCAGAATTCTGACTTTTTTCTCACAATTCTGACTTTAATCGACTTTTCTCAC